GAACATGTTTGGTTTCTCTGTTCTTTCCCTCCGAGCTTGTGGGGACCTGGTGGGCTCGGTGTTGAAGCGTTCTAATGACCCCGAGTTTATGTTGTAGCGGATGATTTGAATCAAAGGCCAGGTACTGGTCAGTGTGAGTGGACTTTCTGAAGACCTCAGTCTCTAATTGTCCGTTCTCCAGTATGATGACCTTACAATCTAGAAAGGCGAGTTCACTCTCCTTAGCATCCTCGCGAGTGAAATTTATAAAAGGGTCCACCGAGTTAATGTGTGCTGAAAATGGTTCCACTTCCTGTTTCTTTAACTTAACCCATGTATCGTCTACATATCGAAACCAATGGCTTGGCGCTGTCCCTTGGTAAGAGGCCAGGGCTTGTTCCTCCAGTTTCTCCATATACAGATTGGCCACTATAGGAGAGACTGGGGAGCCCATCGCACAGCCATGAATCTGTCTAAAGAAGGTGCCTCTAAATTGGAAATACGTGGTGTTAAGACACATTTCAAGTATTTCACAGATGTGGTCAGCTGTTAGTTTCGTTCTCTCCCCTAGTGTGGCGTCTTTCTGTAGGCTTTCTCTTACAGCCTCCACCGCCTCTGTAATAGGGACCGACGTAAAAAGCGATGTCACATCAAACGAGACCATTGTCTCATCTGTGTCAAACTGGAGGTGTTTGATTTTATTTACAAATTATTTTGTGTTTTCTATGTGATGGTGGGTGTTACCCACCAAAGGAGCCAGAATGGTTTTGAGGTGTTTAGCCAGGTTGTAGGTGATAGAGTCTATGCTACATACAATAGGCCGAAGTGGAAAGTTTTGTTTGTGTATTTTTGGGAGGCCATAAATACTGGGGATGGTGTCTCCTGGGTAAAGTTTGTAATATAGTGGTTTTTCAATAATGCCCTCTTTCATTAAGTTCTGAAGGAAGTCTATAATCTTTTTTCTAAACCCACTGGTAGGGTCCCTCTTCAATGGCTGGTACGTGTTGGTGTCCAAGAGTAACTGATTAACTTTGGCCTCATAGTCTGAGCTGTTGAGGATAACTGTGCATCTGCCTTTGTCAGCTGGTAAAATAGTTATACTCTCATCCTTTTGTAATGCCAATAATGCTTTTTGCTCATCTAATGAGACGTTGGATTGTGGGGGCTTCGCACTTTTGAGTGTGGCAGAGACTCTCAGTCTGAGGGCCCCTGCCTCACTCTCCGTTAGTTTGTTGTTTCTAATGGCTGCTTCTGCTGCTGTGATGTATTCAATTGTAGGAATATCTTTTGGGGTTATTGCAAAATTTAGGCCTTTGGTAAGAACATCTTTTTCCGCTTGTGATAAATGCCGATCAGACAGATTTTTGACCCAATTCTCCCTGTCCAAACCTTGTCCAATTTCACTTTTAGAATGTTGAAAAGAATTATGGTTTTGGAGTTTTAGAAATTTGCCTATCTGACGTTCTTTGGCCTTCTTGTGATGGTTCAGTTGGGCAGTTTCCGTAAACGTCCAAATCCTCTGAAAAAACTCTGGTGAGACTGCCAATTCCAGTTTGTGCTTAAGGCCCTCTATCTCGTCCTTTAGGTTTATAATCTCTATGTTAAGTCGTCGAATTCTTAAATTGAGAATCTTCATACAGTAGTTTTGTTGTATTTTCCTTGCCAACTGGCCTGTTTCTAATGCTTTTTGCTTTAAACATTTTGGGATAAGTTTACTCTGGCTACACCTAAGATTAAACCTAAGATGATTTCTGGCGTCTGCTAGTTTTCTTTTGATTTTCTCCAACCCGCGTGCCAAGACCAGGGCGTCTCTCCCAAAGTTGGCAACGATAAGTTAGGAAGAGGGACCCTACCAGTGGGTTTAGAAAAAAGATTATAGACTTCCTTCAGAACTTAATGAAAGAGGGCATTATTGAAAAACCACTATATTACAAACTTTACCCAGGAGACACCATCCCCAGTATTTATGGCCTCCCAAAAATACACAAACAAAACTTTCCACTTCGGCCTATTGTATGTAGCATAGACTCTATCACCTACAACCTGGCTAAACACCTCAAAACCATTCTGGCTCCTTTGGTGGGTAACACCCACCATCACATAGAAAACACAAAAGAATTTGTAAATAAAATCAAACACCTCCAGTTTGACACAGATGAGACAATGGTCTCGTTTGATGTGACATCGCTTTTTACGTCGGTCCCTATTACAGAGGCGGTGGAGGCTGTAAGAGAAAGCCTACAGAAAGACGCCACACTAGGGGGGAGAACAAAACTAACAGCTGACCACATCTGTGAAATACTTGAAATGTGTCTTAACACCACGTATTTCCAATTTAGAGGCACCTTCTTTAGACAGATTCATGGCTGTGCGATGGGCTCCCCAGTCTCTCCTATAGTGGCCAATCTGTATATGGAGAAACTGGAGGAACAAGCCCTGGGCTCTTACCAAGGGACAGCGCCAAGCCATTGGTTTCGATATGTAGACGATACATGGGTTAAGTTTAAAGAAACAGGAAGTGGAACCATTTTCAGAACACATTAATTCGGTGGACCCTTTTATAAATTTCACTCGCGAGGATGCTAAGGAGAGTGAACTCGCCTTTCTAGATTGTAAGGTCATCATACTGGAGAACGGACAATTAGAGACTGAGGTCTTCAGAAAGTCCACTCACACTGACCAGTACCTGGCCTTTGACTCAAATCATCCGCTACAACATAAACTCGGGGTCATTAGAACACTTCAACACCGAGCCCACCAGGTCCCCACAAGCTCGGAGGGAAAGAACAGAGAAACCAAACATGTTCAGAGAGCACTTTCCAGATGTGGCTACCCCAAGTGGTCTTTTACTAAAGCCCAAAGGACGAGAAAGGCCAGAGACACAGTCCAACAGACAGAAGAAAGTAGGAGGAGAGGGGTGTCCTTACCGTATGTGGCGGGAGTTTCAGAGAAACTACAAAGAATCTTTAGGCAACACAAAATCCCTGTGTATTTCAAACCTTTCAACACGTTAAGACAGAAATTAGTGCATCCCAAAGACAAAACACCCAGACACAAACAGAGCAATGTGGTGTATTCAATTAAATGTAGTGAAGAGGAGTGCACTGACCACTATATTGGAGAAACCAAACAAACTCTACAGAAACGACTTTACCAACATCGTAGAGAAAACTCTAGTGGGCCACAGTCGGCTGTTCATCTCCACCTCAAGGCCTCCAACCACACGGTGGATGACACAGAGGTTAAAATTCTGGCTCGGGAGAAGAATTGGTTTGAGAGAGGGGTGAAAGAAGCCATTTTTGTGAGGAAACAAAAACCTTCTCTTAACAGAGGAGGAGGGTTAAGATTTGTTTTGCCTCGCATCTATGACGACATCCTAAAAACAACGCCCTAACTTGGGACAAGGTCAGTGACATGCTAATGAGTTAGGAGGGGTGAAACCTGCACTCCACGTGAGCATCCCAGCAGACAATAGGTCTGTGACATGCTAATGAGTTAGGGTCGTTAGCCTCAGCAGGGTCGTTAGACCTGCTCCCTTCTACATCAAACAGACCTTAGATTGTTTACGAGTTAGTATCAGGATTAGGGTGTGGCTTACCACACCCATAGGTTATAAATCTCCAACGCGCGGTCCGAGAATTCATTCCCTGAAGAAGTCCCCAGGTTGAGGACGAAACGTCGGGAAAACTTGCTAAGAAGTACAGATGATGGGTGAGAAACCTTCCCATACCAGAGGTAACTAACCATACCAGAGGTAACTAACCATACCAGAGGTGACTGGACATACCATAAGGAACTAGCACTAGCCCAACAATAAGCAACAGTGGATTGCTTATTGCAGGGGTCGTGTCTGAGGCAGAAGACGATGATGAAACAAAGACGACCAAAGTTTTACAGAAAAGCGTTATATTTAAACCAAGGACTCGTAAACAGTTATGCTAGCAGCTAGCAGCTAGCATCTAGTTCTACCCCAGAGAAGCAAAACATTCAGCTGCAAAATCACTGCTAAAAATATGTATTTCCATGATTATTATAATTATTACTTTTTACATAGTTCTTATTAGTATAGATTTATATGAGTTATTATACTTCAAATCTATAGTAAAACTACTTTGTATGAAGTTTTTCTTGTTATTTACATTTAGATTATTTTTATTTGCTTATGTCATGACGCTGTGTATGTATAATCGATGTATAATGCACTGAAACACACACACACACACCTACACACACAGACACGCGCACACGCACGCACGCACGCACGCACGCACGCACGCACGCACGCACACACACACACACACACACACACACACACACACACACACACACACACACACACACACACACACACACACACACACACACACACACACACACACACACACACACACACACACACACACACACACACACACACACACACACACACACACACACACACACACACACACACACACACACACACACACACACACGCACACACACAATGGCAATTAATAAAACCCAGAATGCCAAGAACGCTCACAGCAACAATGCAACACACGTTCTTCAGGTGGAAGGGTCTGGCACAAAACCAACGCATGGGAACAAGAGAAAAAAGAAAGTTTAAATCTCAATTATGCAAATGTTCCGCCGTACGTAAATCCAAGAGGTGTAAATTAGAGTCGTGCCAAAAGCCAGCAGGGACTTTGGAATCTGTAAGAACAATCCCGACACCTGCGGATTCTCCCCGGAGGAGGAGAGACGTATTTTTAGCTGGAACATAGACGCAGGTGTGATTAGCGTTAGCGTTGGTGTTAGCATACCACAGTCACACGACAGCAAGGCGGGTTGACAGTCTGCAAACTTTACAAATGGCTTCTTCTCCTCAAGTAACTTTCTCTGCCGTCATTCGCTGAGATTACAGTCTGCCTTAGCAACCGCCTTAGCAACTTCCTCAGCAAAGGCCTTAGCAACCGCCTTAGCAACTTCCTCAGCAAACGCCTTAGCAACCGCTTTAGCAACCACCTTCGCAACCGCCTTAGCAACTTCCTCAGCAAACGCCTTAGCAACCTCTTTAGCAACCACCTTCGCAACCGCCTTCGCAACCGCCTTAGCAACCGCCTTAGCAACCGCCTTAGCAACTTCCTTGGCAAACGCCTTATCAACCGCCTTAGCAACCAGCTTAGCAACCGCCTTTGCAACCAACTTAGCAACCGCCTTTGCAACCAACTTAGCAACCGCCTTAGCAACCGCCTTAGCAACCGCCTTTGCAACCGCATTAGCAACCGCCTTTGCAACCGACTTCGCAACCAACTTAGCAACCGCATTAGCAACAGCCTTAGCAACATGCAAAGATAAAGCCGTCCCTACAAAGTCCCATCCAAGCCCCGGTGATCCAAGATGGCGTCCTGTTCAAATGAACGGCTTGTGCTCAGTGGTTCATGGGACTTCACAGAGACCGAGAGATTAGTGGAACTCGTCCATATTTGGGCATCGTCTGATCCTCCCGGTTCTGTGCAGTGGACGAGCTCCCATGATGCTTTGCACCAAATACTCGTGTGTGGCTCTCATGCACGTGCACAGAGGGGCTCGGCCGCGCTCTGACCAATCAGAAGGCAGCGTTCTGACCAATCAGAGCTGCTGATCAGAGCGGGAAGGAAACGAGCAGAGTTTGTGGCAGTAAAGTGTGGATTTAAAGAAAGTTTTGACCTAAAGCAGCCATTTAAAAACATATACAGTGTATTTATTGTGACACTATGACTTTAAACAAAGAAAATAAGATAAAAACCAGATGAAAAGAAGTTCTCTCTCTTTCCATTTCCAAAAGAATAATAGAGCAGTCCCTCGATGTTCAGCCGGTCTCATTATGGTCCTCACACTTTTATGTAACTCTCAGAATAAACTTCTCACAGACTCCTGTCGTCGTAGGATTCTGTTGGAAACTTCCGTCGTTAGGAGGTGGTCCCAGAGGATCCTGGACTCGGCCCCGGCCTCGTTTGGACCCATTAAAGTGAAACTGTCGATCCTTTGCTGTGAAGCCGAGGCCCCGGGGTCCAACGCACTCACACACTCTCCATTACAGCCGTGTTTTAGCTCCAAAGAAACAATATTCAGCTAAATATGGTTTTTAATCTTAGTCTGTATCTCAGTCCTGCTGATAATGACTGTGTTTTCAAAAGTAAAGTATTTTCAGAAGTAAAAGTTAAAGTTAAGTTAGGCCTTCACCGCTGTGGGGTCAGAGTTCACAGTGAGGGAAGGATGCAGTCGCTGTATCAGACTGATGCGCCAAAGAGGGAGAAGCGTCTGCAGTCTCTCACCTCTGGTCAAGAGCTTTGGGTAAAGACTGAAAGGACGAGATCTCCACTCACACACTCCAGACTCACTCTAATGTGGGGGAAGTGTCTTGCCTAAGGACACAACCACAGTTTGGCACTTTACAGCCGCCCCACTGTCTCCCATCGCAGCAATAGCCAGGCCCTGCCCTGCTTAGCTTCAAAGGTCTGACAGGATCTGGCTTTCACCTGCAGGGGGCGCCACAGGTTTGTATGATGTGTCTCAATAATGGCAGGGAAACACCGCTGACTCATTCTCCCCCTCCCTCCCCTCCCTCCCCTCCCTCTGTACTAGCCTCCCCCGTCCCAGAGTAAGTGTCCAGTGAATTTATTATGTTGTGTTTTGTGTGACATGCAGATCTACGCTCGCCGCCGCCGCCGCTCGCTCTTCATCACCGCGGAGACGGGGGTCGATGAAGACGATGAAGGTTTGGTTTTATTTCAATAACTTTGGTTTTAGCAGCGTAGAGACCAAAGAGAGACAAAAGAGAGACCAGAGAGAGACCAGAGAGAGACAAAAGAGAGACCAGAGAGAGACCAGAGAGACAAAAGAGAGAGACCACAGAGAGACCAGAGAGAGACAAAAGAGAGACCAGAGAGAGACTAGAGAGAGACCAGAGAGAGAGACCAGAGAGAGACCAGAGAGAGACAAAAGAGAGAGACAAAAGAGAGACCAGAGAGAGACTAGAGAGAGACCAGAGAGAGAGACCAGAGAGAGACCAGAGAGAGACAAAAGAGAGAGACAAAAGAGAGAGACCACAGAGAGACCAGAGAGAGAGACGAGAGAGAGACAAAAGAGAGACCAGAGAGAGACCAGAGAGAGAGACCACAGAGAGACCAGAGAGAGACCAGAGAGAGACCAGACCATGTTTTGTTTGTGTCGGAGTCTGAGTCCACAGGATCCCGGTCTCAGGTCTCAGGTCTCAGGTCTCAGGTCTCAGGTCTCAGGTCTCAGGTCTCAGTGGTCTCAGCAGAAGAAGAAGAAGTGGGCCGAGCCTTTAAAGTCCGAGGGAAAGTGGACCGAGCCTGGACCCACATCAGACGCTTCTTTCAAGTGTCCTGTTTTATCTGGATCAGAACTGGGACGATCACAGTCACAGTGGGAGACCGGGGGGAAACCGGGGGAGACGGGGGAGACAGGGGGAGACAGGGGGAGACGGGGGGGAGACAGGGGATTCGAGAAACTCAAAGAACCTCAGGAATGTAG